CTCACTGCACTTATCACAGAGTTCTGTATAAATATCGCCTCTTGCATCAACTTCACATTGGGTAAGACGCTGACGCCTAGAAAAGATTAGATTTGCCTCCAGTTTCACTACTTTTAGGAAGAACTTGAGGCTTACTTATTTACACCGTCCTCCCCAAGAAAATTTAAAATAACTGCTAGGCAGTACTTCAAAAAAATTATTTTCAGAATTCATCAGGTGCTCAGCTATGAGAATAGTAATGGCTATTGTAAAGTGTCTAGAGCCAAGAAAAATTGTCTTATCAGTATTTTAGCTAATTAATTGAAGCAAATGTTAAATAAAGTCAAAAGCAGACCATTACCGAGAGCAGACCTAACCTGCTTTTAACCTCTTTCACTGTGCTCAGTGATGTTTCCAAGCATTTGCAGTATTCCCTACATTCAGTATTCCTGTATTTATAAGTGAGCTGTAGTCACAGTAAAAGAAACAGTGAAGAATCATAAAACTTAAGTCACCCCTCGATGTAAAGCTGTGCATCCCAGGAGATCAGCTGCATCAACAGATGCTTCTTTTTCAAGTAATAAAGAAACAGCATCAATGTGCCCATATGCCACTGCAAGCATTAGTGGGGTTCTGGAAAAAACAAAAACAAAGCAGTCACAGCTATAAAAGTGACAAACTTCTTGCCAGTGCTAACCTACAGGAATTGAGAAATGAGGAAGCCCTGAGTTTCTCTCTGTTCCTACTCGCAAGCCTGTTGTTTTTACTGTACTCATCTATGTAACACCCAAGTGAAGACCTTGTGCATGAAATTATTACATGTTCAGCAACCAACTACCATGACTGAAATAGAAACAAACTCATTTGTAAGCAGTTTTCAGAGCAACGTTGTCCAAAACAATCTGTTCTCTTAATAACCTACACTTATTGTCACCTCAAGCAACACACAAGCTTTACAATAATACCTGAGTGAACAAATGTCCTTGCCAGTTAACACCAAGATGACAACACCCAAAGCATTTCTTTTGCAAATGCTGCTTAAGGGGGTGAAGGGAAATGAGCAAACTGTTCCAGCCAAAAATTGAACTGACACGTCTTACATTTTTTTTCTGAAAGAGAATTGTTCTCCTTCTGTTTTTAATTAAGACTAATACATTTTGAAATTATAGGTACACTCAGATATGTTCCAGGCATCCCAAATGAGTTTTTTAAACCATTTACATTTTCACTTTAAAAATATACTTTATTCTCCCTCTATAACTGACATTTAAGAAGTCAAATTTTTGTAGGAACATCTCAGATGCATGTGTCACCTCAAATAAACATTCTGTCCCACTGCACTATCCTAATATACCAAGTAACCCCTCCAAGAGCAATGTTTCAGAAAGGAAAGGACTCTCAACAGAAACACCTCAGGAGTTTGTTGGTTTTTATTGAATCTGGCCCTCAGCACCTATGAAGGAGTGTTTAAAGTATGAAGCAGAGACTAAGATTAATGAATAATCCTTTCCACATGGCTTAGATCAGCTGAACGTGTGCTTTGTAATCTCTGCCAGATCTATAAAGAGAAGTGCAGGAAATACAGTATTTCAAATAAATGCCTTTTCTGTGAGAAATCTGAGATGCTGTTTGAATCGTAGAGCTGAAAAAAGAAGTTGCAAAGAAAACTTACTGTCCTTTGGCATCTGTCACATCAGGGTTGTCTGCAACTTCTAGCAACAACCGTAAACAAGGTGTATGGCCGTTAATGACTACAATGAAAAAAAGTATGTTCAGTTAAAATATGTTTAATTTTGGATACATTTCCACTGGAACACTTATGGATAAGAAACACCCTTATAAACAAGGAAAATATTCCATGGTATAATAAATCAATTTCCCCACAATTTTCATTTAAGTCATGCTGATGAAATGGTGAACTGCTTTTTCCCTGGCCTCAGTAAGAAGAGGACTAGTTCTCTTACAGACAAAAATCAGAAATGGTGACTTTCACTGCTGTGAAGATTTCTACTAAACCAGACAGCATTTCAAAACCCCTCAGACGGAGCAGGCAGATGAGGCTTCCTGCGATCATCTGATAGGGGAGACAGGAGGAAGCACGTCGGCAAGGCTTGTGAATTTTGTGGGCACTGTAAGGGTAAGTCCTTCAGTGCTGCTGCAAAAAAATAGACACACGCAAAGAATAACCAACGATACAAATGTCAAATTCATAACCAGCACATAACGCCAGGGACTAAAATTCCCTTTGTTTTTTTCCACCGTTCCTTGTTTAACTTTATTTGAAGCCACAGCTACTTCTCAAAAATGGAGTTTTCTTTTTAAGACTGCTGGAAAACAGTGCCAAGTTGCTGCATTTTGCAGGGAATGTCACTGAAAAACCATTGGTGTGTCAGTGCCTTAAAAGCTTCAGCCTTCCATGGGGTGAAGAGAATAGCATTCCCTTCTTTAAAAACGGCAATTCCCGTGCTCAGTAGCTACAGACCGTGTTCTTATTGTGGCAAGTCACGTGCCCACGCTGCCCACGGCCCGTGGGCTGGGGCAGAACCCCGGGACACCACCGACGGCACATCATGCTGGCAGGGAACCGGGCACACAGCACTGCATTGAAATCACTCATCCAAAAATAATCTCAGTTGCTCTACCCAGAAAAAGAGAAGACATTTTTAGTTATTTAGCACCAAGTAATGGCATATACGTAACACGTAAACAGTTCTGCAGGACTGATGAGTCACTGGCTTAGGGAAAAAATAAAATAAATCTCTTCTTCCTCCCAGCAGGAGGAAGAGAAACCATAACTTGTTCACACCAATGTGTGAAAAGGATTTTGGTAAATGAGTTTTAGATACTCCCAGAAACTCCTAGGAGCTGACCCAGTGATCTCTAAGCATTATAGACCCTGCGGGGAACATGAGTTTTGCCAGCAGAGCTCCAACACCAACATGAGGGGAACAATGCACTGGGATGCCTAGGCTAGCCAGAGGAAAGCCTGATGGGAATAAAACTAGAATTTAGGCTACGGAAACTCCCCATATTATGAGGTCAGAGGAAGTCTGTTCTCTGAGGGGGACAGACAGAAAAAAGAAATACCTCATTAGGTGATTTCTCTACTAACATTTGCTGAACAGAGTGCTGCAGAATCCCCAGATCTCCTGAACTCTTGAGTTCAGCAACTGCACTTGTGAAATTATAGCAGGACTGAAGGTGAATGTGTTTAAGGGGATGGGCACACGTCGTCTTTTTTCTTTCCAGCGCACAGTACTGCACATGCAAGTCCTCACTTTTATGTGTGCAGATGTGCAAAAAAAAAAGCAGGAATTCTGTTTGATTTCTCAAAACAGGCCAGTTTACCTCTTACACTCGCACTGCAAATAAAACCCACCGAACACTGCAGTGGCATCACGCTGAGTTTCGATAGGTGGCACCATTCTTTGCTAAAACGCTCCTAACAAAACATATTGTTATGAAACAGCACAATAAAAATCATCAGATTGCAAGCTGCTTTTTAGAATGGAGATAGAAGCTTTACTCCAGAGCTCGTTCCCACAGAACTCTGCAGCTCTTGACTGGAAGGTTCTAACCATTGTCTTAGAATCGTAGAATCATAGAATTGTATCAGC